GCATTACATGGGACGGCGAGCTGAGAGAGAGGGGCGCAGGGAGGGTGCACTAAGGCGCGATAGAAACGCGGAGGATGACCGTGGTGAGAGAGGAGTGACGGGACGATTACCAAGTTTTTCCAGAAAGTAAAAAGTGGGGGGGTGGGAGCTATGACGACACGACCCGGCTGCGTGGTTGAGAAAAGTGGGAGACAGACTTATGGTCTCGGTCCGAGACGGAGACCTAACCCAATCGACTGGTCGAGACAACACTAATCTCTACAGGGTTTGGAATCGGATGTACATGTTAGCAATCTCGTGAGCGGTTATCTTCGTGTTCACATACATCACTACAGTGTTACAATGCCTTCAAAATGCCTTCGGACCTACACACACCTCTCTTTTGAGTACGTGTTTTGGGATATATTGTGTGATCTCCTTTCCCTTAGAGGTTGAGGTTTGTCGAATTATCGGCCGGAGAAAATTATGTACGACTATATAACCAATAGTATGTGGATATGGAGGGAGACGATTTGGACATTAATGTTACCCAGTAAGACTCGACAAGAAATAGTCTTTACATCAAAAAGACAGTCTAGAACATTCCATGGTTATATTATGCGAGCTTCACCGACGTTGTGGCGGACGGTAAAATCTTGTAATTAGTGTTTTTGTTTGATGAAATTGACAAAGAAGAAGGGACTAAAACGTATTTACTGATTTTAGGGTAGTGTTTCTTGAAGGATGTTTAACGGTTGAGGCTACAAAATAATTTGTGTGTGCGGTCCCGCTGGAGGCGACTAGTCATCGTGTAGCACACGCCGGGAATTAGTACGTGTTATGTCGAAACCTCTAAATGGGTGTCGAGTCATTTGTTTGTTTGTACACAATACGACGTCACTCCTACCGAATACTGTCGCATGAACAAAGATACCTCACTTTGCAGATAAAGTATGGAGGCTCGTCGACGATACGGGTCATGGGAAAGAGCTGACAGAAACCGCTCAACACAACAGAAGTATCTAAAAAGTCGTATCAAAGACCGCCAGCCAGGACGACGAAAAGATCGTGAGGACTTGATCTTTTATTAGAATCCTTATAAGTGTGTTTCTTCATTTGTTGAAATTTGAGACACCGTAAATCGGGAGGTCAGTTAAAGAATTAACAATACATTTGAACCCCAGTAAAAATTCGGTTGTATGTACGTTTCGTCCTCAATTATAATAAATAAACCATTTTACAAAGTCGAGTCTCTTACCTTTACACTTCCAGGTTCACTACATACTGTCGTTTCTTTCTCTTAAACCTTCAACCTCAACTCTATTCCTGTCACAACACAAGTTCTATTACTTCCTCGTAACATTTGATCACTGTGTCACACGGAGTTACTAGCAAATAAAACTTGGCAAAAACCTGTTGGGGTCAACCATCGAACAAACTCTGTCTCATAACTCTATGTTTCTCTCATGCACAAAAATTATTAATTTGTTTTATTTTGATAACCAAAAAAAAGGAAAATATAACACAGGTCAACAGGAAAATATTGGCCGCTCCTATAATCGAACGTCGGACCTCTTATATAGAGACTTTAGACTTAAAGACTCTATATTAGAGTCAACATTAAAGGTAAGCTGCGCATGTAAATCTTTCTTTAGCCTTTTTTTACCACAACAACCAAACAGTTCCTTATTTCTGATAATAGGCCTGTAGTACTTATTAGATGTTAAAATGGATGTTACCAGTATTACGCCGCAAATTAATGTTTAATAATTCGGAATAGTATGTACAGAATTGAGGTCAAATTCAGCTTACGTAATATTTCGTTTTTATGTTTGTGACGAAATAATCACTTTTTTCCGTCGGACTGAACAAATGAAAAGTTAAACATTTACTCATAAAAACGTACAGTGAGAGAATAGTTAACAGTTATTTTATGGATGTATGGGACGATGGACGTACCATGAAATTATAGTATTGTTTCCCGAAAGGTAAAGGAAGGTTAGTTGACAGAAGTCGGTCGGTTATACCGTCGTCTTACCTGTTATAGTGCCCCAGTTATGGTAGGAAATTATGTTGTGGACCCGAGGTCAGAGAGAAACTGGAACCGTTACCTCTCCTATTCCCCACTAGACAGACCACTGACCACCACTCCATACTCAAGAGGACGAAAGTCGAACGTTGTCAGTAGCCGTCACCCGACCTTTGTACGTCTACTTCCTTACCTTGTTTTGTTCTTGTAGTTTTTATGTTACACTTTTACATTTGCAAAACTGACTATACACATAGCATAAACTTTGTATAGGAAGCCTCTAGGAGACCCCGAGTAATCACAGGGAGACTTTCAGAGAGGTGTCTAGACCTTACCTCTCCGCTGTTTCAATTACTAGTACTTTATGGTGTGCGATGGACAGTAAGATCTGAGCTCCCTATGAACTGTAAATAAAAGGAGGCAAGGACGAAGGATCGTCCGATTTTACTTATGTTTACCCACTTTTGATACACAATCATCGTCGATCCATGACTACCTCCTGTTTACAAGGAACGCCATCTTTTTGAGTCAATTTGAGTACGTAAGCAACGTATTGGCTTATGGTCAGTAAGTCTAAGTTGAATGTTAATTTATGATTAATACGTTTTACTAGGTAACAGTGTCATACATAATATAGTACCAAGTATTAATCATTAGGCAATTACACTTTTATTAATATGTAGAAACGTCGGAACATTCCTTACGATTTAAGCTTGTGAAAAATATTGAAGGACCATAGAATGTAGGTAATTTCATGTACTATTCGACTAGTCAAACTAGAGTGACCAAATAGTTCATTATGTCTGCAAGTTCCATGATTTCGACACTACGAGGTAAATTTTGGCCCCAATGTTCCTGTTAGCAACAAGGAACAAGGATGAATGAGAAGACGACATGAGTGAGCAAGAGATGAGTGAGCGAAAGTAGGAGAAGAATAAGTAACAAAGACAAATTGACTAGGAGCTGGCTTTTCGGAGCGTGTAAAGGCAACATGGACTCATACTACTGGGAGTTGGGCACACTAAGACTAACTGGGTGGAGGAGCCTGGACCTGGAGAGTATCGGAAGGGTGGCGCACCCTCACGACACTTGCGATAGAATGAGGCAGCTAGCAAGTCGCTAGAGAGGTAATAGGAGGGAGCGAGAGAGGCAGCGAGCGACACCGGACGCGACGGAGACCAGTCTAGGCACGTGGGGAGGACCTGGACCAGGGGAAGTGCTAGAGACTTTGAGAGGACAGCACGCTCAGGAGTTCGTGTATCTCTTGTATCTTTTATTCTGGATCTTTCTCCTAAAGAATATCATTATTTTTTTTTATCTCAGCTATGCATCGCCTATCTCACTCTAGTACTCTGTAGCTGTGGCTTTTTGTTATATTCTATTATACTTTCTCTTCAAGTTTCTTCTCTCTTGTATTATATCTTTCTTCCTTATGTTCGCTAGTTAGTGTTTCCTTCTGTTTTTCTCTATCTGTTCTCTTGACTATATACTGTTTGCTACTATCTGTGTTCGTTGATATGACATAAAGTTCAATTTCGTATGGGTTAGTTAGACACATAGTACGGGGGACTAAGTCGGCAAGGCGAGAGTGAAAATTATCGCAATTGGGGTGCTATGGTAGGAAAGGACTTTTAACCAACAAAGACGGAGATTTAAACCGACTGTATTTGTTGTTTGACTAGGTTAGTGAAAGGAGGAATTCCATGCCCATCCAGTAAGTGAAGTCTTTGTGCGGAAGACAAATATGAAGGTGAACCTTAGCGAGAAATGTAGGGCTATCGTTAAGTATTAAGTTACGAAAGCTGTTATTATGCTACTTTTTGACAGTTAGACACCCTTCGACACTGCGCGTTTCGTGCTGTAGTAGACTCGAGGCCGGGCGATTTATTGACCTACCGCTGATGGGACGGGATATCAGGCGGAAGGTAGACAGTGTTAATAGGCACGGAGTAACAGTACACGCGCAAGCACACACAACCTACCCGTCTACGATTTTTTTTTTATTCCATATTTTATTCCTTTTTATTCCATTCCATTGCAATGTAAATACTGTTATACTTATATTTTACTATATTTTTCATTATTTTAAATATTTGTTCTAGTTCTCTATCTGTGTTTTGATTGTTGTTTTACTTTTATGTATGCACCACGACACCTAGTCAAATTCCTCGTAAGTGTAAACCTACCTGGTAATAAACCTGTTTCTGATTCTGATCTCATGTTCGCGTTCATTGTATCCTCTCAGTTGGAAACCGATGGACTTGACAGTAGGGAATGAGTCCTTACCCCGAGTGAAGGAGTTCAAGTATCCCGGGGTCTTGTTCTCGATTGAGGATACAATGAACGCGAACATGAGATCAGAATCAGAAACAGGTTTATTACCAGGTAGGTTTACACTTACGAGGAATTTGACTAGGTGTCGTGGTGCATNTGTGTGTGTGTGTGTGTGTGTGTGTGTGTGTGTGTGTGTGTGTGTGTGTGTGTGTGTGTGTGTGTGTTTTACAGAACCAGTTGGCTCCAAGTGAGGTTGTCCAGTGGTCCAACCACCGAGTTATGGAGTGGTTAAGATCTGTGGACCTGGCAGAGTACGCTCCGAACCTGAGGGGCAGTGGCGTGCATGGAGGGCTGCTAGTGAGTGCACAATATCACTTGTTTGTAGTTTAAGGAAATGCTCCAGAAAGCCTCCTAAGTGTGTCTTTACTCTAGATGTTGGAGTCTCGGTTCAACCCAGAAACGCTGGCCATGCTGCTAAACATCCCACCGGAGAAAACACTGCTGAGACGCCACCTAACAACCAACTTTAACAACCTGGTGGGAGCAGAGGCTCATCTCGAGAAGAAGGTGTACACGGAGGCAACGGGGAACACCCCACTCAGCATCACAGCTAAAGTCAAGGTAATATAATGCATGTGCGAGCAACAGTTTACAGTTTGGAATGGAAAATTAAGAACTTGCCCCGCTCTTCCTGCATGCTGAAAAAAGGCACTTTAATCTGAGGTAAGACCTGGGTGTGTCATCACAGTTGAAGCGCCGAGCCTCTAAAGTTTTTTTAAGCCTCTGACAGCATTCTCTGCTATCACAGACTTACTTTCATGTATGCGAGTGCTTTAAACCCTCCACTGTGGGTCTTTCTGTGCAGAATAATCCACCATAACACAACAATGTTGATCCAATCCTGAACTTGGACACTTGGAGAGAAAAACCTCTAAGACAGGGCTCAGCAATCTTTACTACCAACTGCCATTCGGCCCCCTCTTCCACCAATTCAAAATGTTCTGGAACAGTAACAAAATAATTTGAGAACAGTTTATTATGTTTTATGTAAAGTTTTAATATACCAAGAAAAACTATAGTTTGTTTATGAATTTATAGAATGACAATAAAGAAAACTGTTATTGTGTGTTTTCTTCTGTGCAATTTAACTTACTAGTTTTATTACAAAAGAAAATACCTTATTCTTTTAAGGAGGAGAAAAATACACTAGCATGTGTAGGCATATTTGAGAAAAAAAACAGAACTCTGCAGGCCTGTTCTTCTGCACATGACTAATACATTTTTTTTTTTAAATGGACAACTTGCAAGTACAAAAACACATAGCTGCAAGAGTACATTTGAAATATAAAAAGAGTAAATATATGAATAGTTCAGTTTGGATTTAATGATGACTCCGCCACATACAGCTGTCAACAGTATCTTCATAAAAGCGCTCTCCGTTCAGTATTATTCACTGATTCAGACTCAGGTGAGTGGACTAATGTCCTCAATGTGTTCCTTTTCTCATGTTGCTGTGTTCTATGGTCTTTACCAAGAGAGACATAACACTCTGAACAATTTCCCGTTTGTTTTCTAAGTCAAGAAAAGATGCTGTCATATTTAATAAATAATTTATTTGTGTATTCTCCGACTGTTAACCGCCTTGCTCCAATGAGCAACAACAATATCAGCAGTGGTTCAAAGACAACATGTGCCAGGGCTTAGACGAGGTAGGATGTGATGCATTTGAGTTAAAACCTTTTAATTTTATTGTAGAATATGATCCTTTCAAAATATTGTCCACTTTGCAAAAAAATAAAAATAGCCGTTATTTATTTCCACATCAAAGTTACAGGGAGCCACAGCAGAGGAGCTGAAGAGAAGCATGAACACTGATCTAAGACTGTGTGTGTGTTTTGTGATCAAATTACAGTGGCATTAAACAGTGAGAGGACACATTTATAAAAGCCTGGGATCACTGAATCAACACCACTGTGGATACATGAAACATACAGATTTCTGCTGTCAATCTTCCTCTATAATCCCATTAGAATTCAATTCCTTATTATTTTTAAAATCCAAATAATTCACATATTAATGTACAAATTATGCCAATTATTAATATTTACCATGTAAAAAAGTATTTACACAGTAAGTATTTGTCACCAATCATGCTGTGATATTCATGGCCAGGATTTCAAGGTGTAGTCGTGGGGGAGGGGGGCTGAAGTTGGATTGGTTAAGGGTTGCATCGCTGTTTTTTGCAGATGACGTGATTCTGATGGCTT